GGAAGGGGACTGCAGTGGACCGGGGATGATGACGGCGATGACGCTGATGATGATAACGATGACTATGCCAACGACGACGCCGACGACGACCAACAAGATGTTGATGATGCGGATGATGATGCTGAAAAGTACGATGACGATGATGGCGATGGTGATCACGATGCTGATGATAATGGTGTTGATGATTGTTGTGATGGTGATGGTGAAGGCGACCATGACCATGACGATGACGATGAAGATGACGGGGATGAGGATGACAATGATGACGATGATCATGACCCTAGTTAGAACTTGAGCATGCGCGAAGCGCGCGATGATTATATCTTTTAATGCGGAGGACTGAGGACTACAACAAGGGACCTGAGGACACGCCCACTCCGTGCCCGAAGGCACGTTAGCGGAAATGATAATATAGGAGATGGACGGGAAGACGGAAATCCAGACAAGATAGAGAACCACAATCAATCATGGAAGTAGTGTCTATCTATGTACTTGTGTGTGTGTGTGTCCCTGGGCCCCTTTATATCAGCATGGGGTTCCTTTCAGATCGTCGGGCAGGCTCCCAGAAACACGCGAGTGCAGCAGGAACGACGGGGACCCAGGGCCGTCATGTTACCCGGAGCAGCATGTGGTGATGATGGTCATGATGCTGGTTCCCGCCCCTTCTCGCTCGCGGCCCCCGGCAGCATTTCCGGCCTGGGCACTGGAGTTGACTGAATGTTGGTCCCCGTTTATTGGGGCGCGCCCAGGTTTGCAAAGTCAAAGCTTCTCGCTCGCGGCCCCCTGCTCACGCAGTGGCCACCGTGTGAGCAGCGGCGGTGCCCGACGCGACGCGGGACTGGACTCCTCTGACTTGACTTCCGTGCAGGCCGCCCCGCTCGGACCACGCGAGCCGGCCTCCACCTTCTGCACCTCCTGCCCCAGAAGTGCTACGGAGGCGAGCGCATGCCCCCGCTTGTTGTTTTTTCCCGGAAAGGGCGTAGGCCCAGGGTTCTCTTTTAGTATGTAAACATATCCCCCCGTGCCCAACTTGAAGGAGGCCGGCGGATTCTTTCCCTGATAAATATCGAGGTCGAAGGAGGCCGGCGGATTAAATTTTGAGGATGTCTCAGGCGAAACGCTTGTTTTTGAAATCCCGATCGATAAATCACAGGGTGCGGGACACCTCAGCACGACCACACCCCCAGCATGACCACACCCGGGAACCCGAACACGCCACCAGCACCGGCACAAACCGACGCAACCACACCACCACAGCCCCAGCACGACCACACCCCAGCACGAACCACACCCGCACGACCACACCCCAGCACGACCACGACCCCAGCCGACCCGTCGATAAATCACCAGGGTGGCTGACCACACCCCAGCACGACCACACCCCAGCACGACCCCACACCAGCACGACCCCACCCTAGCACGACCACACCCCAGCACGACCACACCCCAGCACGACCACACCCCAGCACGACCCCACCCCAGCACGACCCCACCACAGCACGACCACCCCCCAGCACGACCACACCCCAGCACGACCACACCCCAGCACGACCCCACCCCAGCAAGACCACACCCCAGCACGACCACACCCCAGCACGACCTCACCACAGCACGACCACACCCCAGCACGACCACGCCCCAGCACTACCACGCCCCAGCACGACCACGCCCCAGCACAACCACCCCCCAGCACGACCACCCCCCCAGCACGACCACACCCCTCTACCACCCCCCAGCACTACCACGCCCACACGACCACGCCCCAGCACTCACCCCTCACCGACCACCCCCTATCACGACCACTCCCCCGCCTACCACCCCCATCGACGACCACACCCCAGCACTACCACACACCAACACGACCATACTCCAGCACGACCACGCCCCAGCACGACCACACCCAGTCGCACCCCCGTGGAATGTTTCGTGGGGTGTCTGGTTGAGTGGTTGCCTGTTCGGGGGGTGTCTCGTGGAATGTTTCACGGGGTGTCTCGTGGAATGTTTCGTGAGGTGTCTCGTGGGTTGTTTCGTGAGGTGTCTCCTGGGATGTTTCGCGGGGTGTCTCGTGGGATGTTTCGTGAGGTGTCGCCCAGTTGGATATCGTGAAAACGTGACCATGCTGCACATGTCTATATCCCTTTCCGGGTTCGTGGGTCCATCATGTTTGAGCTGCTTTTCTCCTTCTCCTCCGCCTCTTCCCTGACCTGCTGCTGCCCCTCCCCTCCTCAAATCCTGTGTTCTAATCCTCCTCTTGCCCCCCCTTCGTTCCTCCTCCTCTTCTCCTCCTCTTCCCCTCCTCCTCCCCCTCCTCCCCCTGCCCCTCCCTCTTCTTCTCCTTCCTGCTCCTGCTCCTCGTCCACGCCGTCTGCCTCCTCATCGTCCTCCTTGCCCTCGTCGTCGTCATCCTCCTCCTCCGCTTATCAACTTCCCGCTGCTCCAGGCGCGCTTCGGACACATCATGCGGGGCCGCAGAAGCAGTATCCGCCCCGGCCAGACGTGAGGGAGCGGGCCGGCGCTGTTCGGATGTTGCTAGAGGTGCCCCCCGGCCCAAGGTGCCTCCAGGATCTCCAAGGAGGCCCCCACGGCTTCCAGAGGGCCCAGACAGACAGGCAGACAGAAATTGTGCACAGCAGAGGCGCATTGGCAGAAAAGGCGAAACGGATACGATTGGGTGAAACGGCGAGCGTGCGAAGCATGGCAGTAAGAGGATGATGATGATGATGATGGTGGTGGTGGTGATGATGATGATGATGCTGATGCTGATGCTGCTGATGATGATGACTATGATGCTGATGATGCTGATGATGAGGATGACGATGATGACGATGATGCTGATGATGATGGTGATGATGATGGTGATGATGATGGTGATGATGGTCGTGGACGATGATGATGATGACGATGATGCTGATGCTGATGCTGATGATGATGATGCTGATGATGCTGATGATGAGGATGATGATGAGGATGATGATGCTGATAATGATGATGATGATGATGATGATGATGATGATGATGATGATGATGATGATGATGATGATGATGATGAGGGTGGAGAAGGACAGAAACTGTGAACAGAAGAGTCGCATCGGCAGAAACGGTGAAACGGAGACGATCGGGTGAAACGGCGAGCGTGCGAAGCATGTCAGTAAGAGGATGGTGATGATGATGATGATGATGATGATGATGATGATGATGATGATGATGCTGACGATGATGCTGATGATGCTGATGGTGATGATGCTGATGATGAAGTGGATGATTATGATTATGATGATGATGATGCTGCTGATGCTGATGATGCTGATGATGCTGATGATGATGAGGATGCTGATGAGGATGCTGATGATGATGGTGATGGTGATGATAGATGATGGTATGATGCTGATGATGGGTGATGATGATGATGATGCTGATGATGATGATGGTGATGATGATGATGAATGATGATGCTGTATGATGTGCGGATGATGCTGCTGCTGATGGATGTGATGATGATGATGATGATGATGATGAGGATGAGGATGAGGATGAGGATGAGGATGCGGATGCGGATGAGGATGAGGATGAGGATGAGGATGAGGATGAGGATGAGGATGAGGATGCTGATGATGATGAGGATGAGGAGGATGCTGCTGCTGCTGCTGCTGCTGATGATGATGATGATGATGATGATGATGATGATGATGATGATGGTCGTGGTGGTGGTGGTGGTGGTGATGAAGATGATGATGATGATGATGGTTATGATGCTGCTGCTGATGATGAGGCTGATGATGCTGACGATGATGCTGATGATGCTGATGATGCTGCTGCTGCTGATGATGATGATGATGATGATGATGATGATGATGATGATGGATGATGATGATGATGATTATGATGATGATGATGATGATGATGATGATGATGATTGAGGGGGAAAAAGAGGAGAGGAAGAGGAGCCGGAAGAGAAGAGGAAGAGGAGGAGGGAGGATGAGGAGGAGGAGGAGGAGGAGGAGGAGGAGGAGGGAGGGGAGGGTAGGGGGAGGAGGAGGAGGAGGAGGAGGAGGAGGAGGAGGAGGAGGAGGAGGAGGAGGAGGAGGAGGAGGAGCGGAGGGGGGGGGGAGGAGGATGGAGGAGGAGGAGCGGATGAGGAGGAGGAGGAGGGAGGGAGCGTAGGAGGAGGAGGATGAGAAGGAGGAGGAGGAGGAGAGAGGCGGTGAGGAGGTAGGAGAGATGAGGTAGGAGGAGGAGGCGGGTAAGGGGAGGAGGAGGAGGAGGAGGAGGAGGAGGAGGAGGAGGAGGAGGGGAAAGAAGGGCGTCAAATTTGGAGCGAGAAACTGGGGGCACCTTTGGCCAGGGGGGACCTCGAGCAACTCCCGCCCTGTTGGGCTGGCGGCCGAAGTCCGACCGACCAGCCGCGCGCGTGCCGTGTGTGCTGCCGGCCGGCGCCTGCGCAGAACAGCCTCCAGAGCTGGCGCCTCAAGCAGTGGCGAATCGTCCTGGTTCGCCGATAGGCTTGCCAAATAATGTTCTAAGAACCCTTTTCAAGGTTTCCACGAGCTGTTCTCAGAACATTTCTGGCTGGGACTGTCTTGTTCTAACATATCGGGCGTATGTTCTGAGAGCATTGTTTTTGTTCTTGGAACATTGTTGGGTTCGAAGAACATGCCGTGGTAGGCCTATGGAAATGCCGGGACGGTTGGTCCCTGCTCAAGGCGCCGCGCCTGCGTCTGCGTCGTCTCGCAGGAGAAAGCCTGCATGTTTTGTTTTGTCGGAGTCCCGAGGGCTGATCTGCTTCTGCAGGCTTCTGTTCCTCTATCGTCCTCGTCACGTTCGCCTTCCTCGTCGTCCCCTGACGTTCTCGCGTCGCGGCCAAATATCGCGGCGGAAGCGTCTCCGAAATTTTCGGCCACCGGGGGCTGTTACCGTGCCCAAAAGGGCCGTAACAACAACTGCCCAGGAGGAGAAGCCAGTCCTTGGAAGGGTCCAGACCTCTTTGGAGTGGCGTTGTGAACAACATCACGATGGCGGATGTCTGGGGCCAGGTGGCCTGACTTACCGAGCTTGGTCAACACTGCGCTCACTTCGGCTTCGTCTTGTCCTGCCGTAGCTGGTCAGGCCATCATTGCAGGCTTGCTCCGTTTTGAAATGGTCTCGCTCTCTTATCTACCTCATCTTCTTCGGCCTGGGGTAGTCAGCCAGGGTGGTATCTAACATGGTTGCCCCGAGTTGGAACCACTTGTTTCCACGTGTCCAGAGCACCCAGGGAGGTGTCTCACATGGTTTTCCCGAGCTGGAACCACCTGTATTCGTGTGTCCAGACCGCCCCGATGGGGTATCAAACGTGGTGGCCCCGAGCTGGAACTACGTGTTTTTACGTGTCCAGGCCACCCGTTGGGCTGGCGAATTTGCATGGCATTGCTTTGCATCGCCTCCTTTCCCATTCTTTCCCTGCAGCCATTTTGACCCAAGCGAATTCAAATTTGGCCAAAGCGAACTCATTTCCAGCCGACTGGTCAACCAGGGAGTCCTCTCAATCCCCTTTTGGATCCCTAATTAAGTCGTCATTGAAATGGTTGGCTCAGGGTCGTGCGCTGCGAAGCGTTGCAGTCCCAAAGCACGCATGGGTTGCGGCGCGTGGAACATCTTGACGTCAACCTTTGTGTTGATTTACGCGTGCATGGAGCAGTCGCGTTACAAACCATTCTTCACGCCCATTGAGTGCACCATCCCCTTACCAAGTGCTGATGGAACTCAGCTCACAAACGCGTGCGAGAACCCCAATGAGTACAGCATCACTACGAAGAAAGAGGACAGCATGACGAATACGTACATTCAGGCGTTTTCCACAACGACCAGCGAACGTTATCTGTTTCACATCGGCCACGGCGCTCCGTCGCATGATGTGGTGTTGCAGGCGAACGGCGCTTGCGACATTGTTGCTGACGTATTTTTAAATCTGACTGCAATGCAAACGCCAGCCTTCGCAGGCATCATTGGATCCTTGTTCTTGCAGGGCTACTCCCCGATGTACACCCACACCATCTCAACTGATGAGGTCTGCATGACGATCATGGGTTTGCCACTCTGCTCTACGGCTACCAGCGACTTGTGGTGCGGTTGGTTGAGCGGCCCTTGTTTCGTCCCTGGTCCAAACGACAGTGCCCCGCCAGCATTCAATCCTACATGTGTCTACACCGGCATGGTTTGTAGTCCGACAGAGGAGGAGATGTTGAAATGGGCAACCCCTGAATATTTGGGCCTCGCAGTCATTGGCCAAGACCCCTGCCCAGCGCACACGGGTCTGCCAGCAAGTCTCAATTGCAGCGTAGTGTCTGCGCCATTTATCGACACCAACATGGTCCAGCAACCTATCAGTGGCTTCGTCGAGGTGAGGTTGACCGAGGAGGCCAGGAAGGCGGCGAAAGGAGCGGAGACTGTCGTCACGATTTTCACCTCTGTGGTCATAGCCGTCAGTGCTCTGGTAATCGTTTATAGTCTTGTGGATGTGGTGCGCGCTTTCCGCGCGTGGAAAACGGTTGAGGTTTCTGGGCCACCAGCTAGCATCGCAGCTTCTGGGCTTCCGACTGTGCTAGCATCGAATCAGGATCAGGATCAGAAGGGGGCGCGGCCTGTGGCCGTCTGAGATGGCGAGCCAAGCTCTGCACGGGGTATGGAAGGCACGGACACGACGACTCAAAATGATGGGGTCGCCTCCATTGGTGAGTCTTGCATTGGAGTTTTGCATGCTCGATGCCGTCGATGTTCCTCTTGCGTGGCTCTGGGATGTCTGGGGCGCAACGCGATGGGCCAGCGGGCCTTTCTGCTGTCTTCAATCTTTCAGGCGCCCTCAATTTGCCAGTCTTTGGGGCATCCCCGACGTCTTGCCAGCTGTAGCGCGATCGTATTAGTGACGCTGCGCGCATCCCCGCGGGCCCATCCAGAAACAACGCCCTGCGAATTGCCATGATACAGGGCAGTGTAAGTCATGCGGTGTAACAAAAGGGTGCAGTAATTCCCTTTTGAAAGATAATGGGGGGGACAGAGGATGATGAGACGAGGAGGGGAGGAAGAGGCGGACGAGAAGGCAGGAGAAGGAGGAATCAGATGGGAGAGGAATAATGAGACGACCACGGCGACGACGACGACGACGACGAGGATGACGACGACCCCCCGTCAGAGCCGTAGTCGTCGCCTCTTGGGGCTTTTCTTGGGGTGCTCTTTGGTGCGTTTGCGGCCGTCTTGGGCCCCTCTTGGGGCTCTCTGGGGCCATTTCGGACACCACCTCGAGGCCTCAGCAGCCTGTCGGCAGCGAACAGGCGAGAAGGCAAACAACCTTGACTTGCTCTAGGTTTAGGACGGGCTTTGGCCTCTCGGTGGCGTCCTTTGGAGGCTCCGTCGCCACTTGAAGCCGTTCTGGGGCGGTCTCTAGAAACGCTGGAAAATGTCTTGAGCCATCTTGAGCTATCTTGTGCGATCTTGGAGGCCATCTTAGGCTGCCTGGGGCCCTCTTGG